GATTGAAATTTGTGAAAATGTAGTTTTAAGTAAAATCGATATTACTATGACAACAACAAACAAAAAAAATTGAAATTGGTAAAAGCCGAATTTTGTGTGATCTAGACCAGCTACTGAAAATCAAACACTAGGAACTGAAAGTTTGGTGTTCAACAAAAGATCTCCGTAAGAAGTAGAAAATTCTGTATGTTTGAATTCGACTAAAACGGAAATATATTCCAGACCTTAAATTTTCAATAGCCGTGATAGATTATTTAATAGAAACGTTATAAATGACTCAGATTATTTTTAAGTACCGTTAGAATGTTGCTTAATGTCATATTTTGATACTAGGAAATTTTGATGTATTTTCGTTCTTGCAATCTTGAAAACTAACCCGTTTTCTCACCACCTGTGTAAGTACAACTTCATTCAAAATTTGGACTTTTAGAGCTTTTTTGTATGTCTCTGAAACGACTCGAACGAATTTTTTTAAAATCTCTTCACATAATGTTCATAATGTATATAATAATGTCTGAAACTTTCATTAAGACTGATTCACTGCAACACCGTGAAATTTCAAGACAAACCTATCCTACTTACCGGTCAAAAATCTGCGTTACAACATTCACTGTTTTGACGATATGCTTAATTTTTCCAAAATAATGCGCACTATACATACCTCCATGAGTTTTTTTTAAGTTTGAATTTATCGCATCTTTTGAATGTAAAACATTGACAATACTCACACTGAAATTTATTAGTCATGGATATATGTATTGTCCGAATTAATTTGGAAAAATGAGCATAACTTCAAAACAGTGAATGTTGTAGCCCGGTTTTTTGACCGATTCGTGGGATAGTGAATCAATGTCAATGAAAGTTTCAGACATTATTATATACATTATAAAGATTATGTGAAGAGATTTTAAAAAAATTCGTTCGAATCGTTTCAGAGATATACAAAAAAGCGCTGAAAGTCCAAATTTTGAATGAAGTTGCACTTACACAGGTGGTGAGAAAACGGCTTAGTTTTTAAGATCGCAAGAACGAAAATACACCAAAATTTCGTAGCAGCGAAATATGATATTAAGCAACATTCTGACGCTACTTAAGGATTATTTGAGTCATTTATAACGTTTTTATTACATAATCTATCACGGCTATTGAAAGTTTAAGGTTTGAAACATATTTTCGTTTTAGTCGAATTCAAACATACAGAATTTTTTACTTCTCACGGAAGTTATTTGCTAAACATCAAACTTTAGGTTCCTAGTGTTGGATTTTCAGCAGCTGGTCTAGATCGGGCAAAATTGGGCGTTTATCAATTTCAAAGTTTTTTGTTTATTGTTGTCATAGTAATATCGATTTTACTAAAACCGAAATTTTGACAAATTTCAATCTATAGTCAATCACTGGTGAAAATTTTATAGCGATCAGACAAGGATAAAATCACTTTTAAAGCGATTGAAAAATATCGGTATGGCCTCCGAAAAACTATATCGAAACACCTTAAATAAGGTATCCCTTGGTAAAACATTCCCTGTTTTGTTCCTTGATATTGGTTTATTTGTAACATTAGTACTCTGTGCGAGTTTTTAACAGAAAGGTGATAGTCTGAATGGAGCTTGTTATTAAACGGCGCTTTAGTGCACGATTTTCAGGCGCTAATGACTTCTCTTTCCCCTTCAGCGACTATTTTTATGAATTTACCGAGTTTTTTTACTTAACTTTAAATTAACATATTCGGAGATGCATGAAACATAAAAAGATATATTTAATTCGACTGAATGAAAGCTAAATGACAAATGGTGCCAAACGAATAGCAGAAGTAGGTCGGTTATCTCACAAAGAACGAATGCAGCAAGACTATTCATATGGCAAAAGACTTTGTGTCTCAGGTTCTTTCTTGCTATCAACAACATCTTCAATTTTGCCCTTCTTTCTTCCTTTTTTAATTTCATGACAGTTTAAATTCTTAAACTCTCTCGTAATTAAATCGTTTTTCATTTTTTGTAAGTAATTAGCTCGAAAAATAGAGGATATAACATGGCCGCTTGGGGATACGAATTTTATCTTCGAGCGCTGAAAGTATCTCTCACGAGTGCGCTTCGCTCACTCGTGAGAGATACTTTCAGCACTCGAAGATAAAATTCGTATCCCCAAGCGGCCATGTAATGTTCTGTTTATTTTATAGATACTGATGAAATTCCTACATAAACACAACTTTTTTAAATTCATTTTCGAAACAGCAAATAGTAAAAGAAAAATCGTGGCTAATCATGTTAGTAACCATGGCGACACCAATATCCTCACATGAGATAATTAAAATAGTATCTTCACTGCGTGCGATGAAGATATGATTTTTTAGTAAAAGGAAAAATCCTGATATTCATCACTATCGAATCGGATATAATAAAATGGATTTAATCATAATTATTTAGTCACATTTATTGCTATTGCAATTTTACTAATTTTGACTATTTTATTTTATCATTCTATTGCACCAACATTTAGATACCTAAAAATTTTCAAATAAAGCGTAACTGGAAAAAGGAGAATTGAATCGATTAGACATAAAAACTAGTTATTATACGCAGTTTTCAGGTGAACATTCAATAGATACATTTCATGCATTCCTTGATTTAATTAATAAGTGAATTTAAAGGGAAGAAAATTTTATCAAACCAAATTTAACATTCAAAACCATTTTCACATTTTGCAGGGGGGTTAAAACCTTCTTTGTCATGTCGTGTCTGACAGAGGTAATGTGATTAAAGCGGGTAAAATAACCGTAACTGGCCTTTTTATTGAGGGGAGCAAAAAGTTATTTAAAAGCAATTAAATACAGTTCCATTATACCAATATGGCATTTTGAACCGTTTATTAAAGCCCTTTTTACAGGATAATATAATCAGTTTATCTTTTAATTTAAATTTACAAAAAAGAGCTAAATATTTTAAATCGATCTATCATTGGTCTCCACCTTTCGTAGCTATTTTTTACAACGTTAGAGAAAAATTAATGCCCTGCAATTAGTTTTACGAATCGACCACCTGCCATCAGGGAAACTGGGGGAGACGTACCGCCAATAAGAAACTCGTCTGGTTATCGCACTGTTAATAGATTCTTCATAAGATATTTAAGGATAATAGACAAGCAATTTTGTTAGACTAAGTATTTATATTTTATCAAGAACAGAGTTGAACAAGTAATGGTTACAGGAGGTATGCGTAGTTAAGTTTCGTTTTTAACCCGCAACAAAACTCAATGTTTAGCGTATGTTAGCTTGTGTTATGCGAAATTTGAGTGTGATTGTGTATGATGCATAAAAATCTTTTCTTAAAAGACACCATCCAACGGCGCTGTAATTTTTCCCATTGTAGACTTGCAGAATTTTTTCAGTTTCCACAAACTTACGGCTTTGAAAACTTTATTAGCCACAGTTATAGGTTCGATCAATTTTTTCTTTTAAATACTTAAAACGGAGCCATGCTTTCTAAAATACTCCTCCATAACTGACTGGTGTTTTTCCGCATCTTTTTTTTTTCCCACAAGCCAAGCATCATTTTATCGTCATTTTAATTCTCTTGGAGTCATTCATACTGCGTAGTTTAAATCACTTGTGTTGAGGCACAGTGAGAACCATGATAAAATGTGGCGGAGATTATCTTCAGGGATTGGAAAACCTCGTAAAGTAAAACATTCCCTCATTAATTTCGCGGACTTGATCCCGCAGAACTCAATCGACTGAAAGCGAACATCGGTCCAGAGTGAAGCAATTTATCCCATGTTATTTGTGTGAGAAACAGCATGCTTACGGTGGTAAATAGTTCAATCTTTGTGTGAAAAGAATTGTAGAAAATGTCTCAAATTACCATATGAATATGACTTTGATGATAGTTAAGCAATATTCTTATTTGGCCTTGCTTTAATTTGTAGTGCTGCGATTGCATTATAATGTTGTTGCTAAACATCAAAACGGCTTCACATCAGAGTTGAATAGGAGGAAAGGCATACACCAAAGGGAAATGTTTGTTCCATGCCACCCCCTTTACAAAGTATAGAAAGGCATCTAATAGACGGCTTTACTATTAAAAGACGTTTTTAGTCTGGCACTATGTACCAGAAATGGTGTTATTTTCAGTGTTGATCATCAGTTCATCTAAGTACAGGTTACGTTTGAACGATGCAGCTACTCAAATTCAATCTATGGTTGCTTGGTTTCGTTTTTATTATAGGGTATTTCGTGAAAAAAGGGTTTTTAATTAACGAATTAATTTGTGTTTTTTTCCTTGAAATATTAATGTTTTCATTCTAAAGCAGAGTGGGAGTTGACCACCTTTTATCTGCTTAGGACATTCGCGCCATAATCCACGGTTGAATTTTCTAAATTCTGAAATTTGCGTTATTATAAGAAGCCAAAATTGAACCGGCTACTAGGATTTATGAGTTCTTTAAACGCTTATTAGCAAGATTTCTTTTTATAACTAAATTTATATGCCAATGACGCAAAATAGAAATAAAGACAGACCTATATTTATGACAGCATTAAAACACTATTGATAACTAATCAATTAAGCCATTTTTACGATAACCTTATTTTCCTTGACATGTTTGCTTTCCTATTCAAATTTAGCTAAGTTTATCAGTCACAATTGGATTTTAATAGTACTTCCAATAGCCTTAGTTGTAAGAAAAAAGAAGAACTCTGATATATAGTTATGGTCAAATAACGTCATCGTGTACTGAAATGTTCTATTTCCTTGTCATCTAACAAACACTACTTGTACAGACCGGTGGGCGACTTTTTAAGGGCAGTTTAATAGTAATAGAAAGCGTTTTCTTGACCTTAAGAAGAAAAGAAGAAAAATAAAAGAATTACTATTGCTTGTTTTAAAGTTTATAATTAAGGAGGGGATTTTAAATGTCTCCCCAGGACAGAGTAGCAGGACAGAAAAGTTACTCTGTCATTTCGGTATTTTGTTCTTTCAGATTTGAAATAACGAGAGCAAACAGCCATGAACCAGGAAAATATTTCTCTTCCACCAAGCGAAAACGTCACGGCCTTATCTTCATTTGATATCTCAACAAAAGTAGTAATGAGTGTCGCCTACGGTATTATCTTCCCAGCCGCGTTGCTAGGCAACGCTTCGGTAATCTACCTTGTCTTCAAGATGCCTTCGATGCGTTCATTAACGAACATGCTTCTAGTAAATATGTGCGTGGCAAATTTACTGGTGACTTTGTTTGCAATGCCCTATTCTATACTGTACCTTTACATTCAGTATTATTGGCTTCCTGGTAGCCTTGGCAACGTGACCTGCAAGCTGACACATTTTTTGTACGCTCTTCCAATCGCGGCGTCCATTTTTGCGTTGCTATTGATTTCGCTGGATCGTTATTACGCAGTCCTACACCCTTTTCAGCGGCGTCCTCTTCTGTTGCGGAGCAGGCGACTTGCATCAATAATCATTTGGTTTTTCTCTTTCGTATGCATGACTCCTTATCTGTTTCAATTCAGAGTTATAGAGTACCGTTCCTATTTCTTCTGCATTGTAAACTGGTCACCGCTGGACACCGTTTTTGCTTCGCGGACATACTATATCACAGTATTTGTGTTTCTCTACTCTCTTCCTCTGCTAATAATTGGTTTAGCCTATAGCTTGATTGGGAAAAATCTTTGGCAGCGCAAGATACCTGGTCAACAGACTCTGTCAAACAAGCGCGTGGCACAGCGCTCCAAATGTAAAGTAGTCCGCATGCTTATCATTGTTGTTGTTGTGTTTGCACTTTGCTGGATTCCAGCCCATCTCATGCACTTTTTGTCATATTTCCAAAGAGAAAAGTACTTTTCGCTTCATCCTTTAGTTCTGTTGATGGCATTCTGGTTGTGTCACGCCAACAGTGCATTATTGCCTTGGCTATTTCTAGTCATGCACCATAACTTTAGACAGGGGATTCGGAGACTCATTAAAGGGCGTTATTTCCAGTACAGTCCCCAGCAATCATCCGCTTCCACGCAATGTACCCGAGGACACAGTTTGGTAGAGCGCCAAGGAACGTTGAAGACTAACCGAAGAAATATTTCGGGAAAAATGCGAACGGTACTATGATTTGTAGGAATTCAGTTGAAATGACTTATGATGGCCAAGTTACTCTTGAACTCCATAACAACGATTGGTCTTGTCATTTATTGATCACTTTATTCGTTCAGAAGGCTAGCGTTCCTCTTTTCCTGTAATGCTCGAAGTACAAACCTGTTCTTTTGGAGTATAAACTGCCTAATAAGCTGCCACTATAGCATTATATTCCCGAGGGTACTAGCCAGGTCTAAAAGCTATATCTTTTGATAACATAATAAAGTTGTCTTTCAATTTACGGTTACTTACAAGCCAACAAACTCTTGCTTAGTTTGATAGTGCTTGGCGGTGCATTTTTTAAAACAACTTTTGATTGATATCTGTCGAGTTTATTTTCAAGAGTATACGCTATGCAGGCAGACTTTTTTTTCGGGCGAGGCAGGGCTTAGCTCTTGATGTTGATATCGAAAAATTGTAAATTTGGTAAAACCCAAGAAACTGTAAAATAGCTTTTTGTTCAGGGGTCCTTCGCAAATTAACAATGGGCTTCAGGATGCCGCAGGTGAGAGACAGTCCGTTTTATGAAAATCCAAGGAACAATCTTTCAGTCAGTGCGAGAGTATTAGGGCAGAAATGTAAATACAGTGTGGAAAAGGATAGAACATAGATATATAACAAAGGGTAAACTCGTCAAAAAAATAAACCCTTTTTTATTTTCTACACTTATATCAAGTGTGCTTGCTTAATAAACAGTAAAAAAACTCTTAGTCTTCAAAATACAATTTTTTTTATCTTGTCTCTTCATTACCATATGTATCATCAAGATTGTCACTATCGCGATCATACTCGCCATCAACATTGTCTCCATCAACCTCACAATCGGCATTGTTATAACAACTGGTTTCTTCAGAGTCTGGACCGTAGTTACGATGACGTCTATGCGTTGCCTGTTCTTCATTTCCCGGTGGTGATTTCTCCTCAATTGGTTCATCGTATAGGACCTGTATACAGTGGGGCTGATGCTGAAGGTCCATAAACTCCCATCCGAAGTGTGCCCCACCTGGCAGCCTCTTATTTATTTTCTTGAAGTAAATAAATTTATACTTAGGGCCATNCCTTGGCTATTTCTAGTCATGCACCATAACTTTAGACAGGGGATTCGGAGACTCATTAAAGGGCGTTATTTCCAGTACAGTCCCCAGCAATCATCCGCTTCCACGCAATGTACCCGAGGACACAGTTTGGTAGAGCGCCAAGGAACGTTGAAGACTAACCGAAGAAATATTTCGGGAAAAATGCGAACGGTACTATGATTTGTAGGAATTCAGTTGAAATGACTTATGATGGCCAAGTTACTCTTGAACTCCATAACAACGATTGGTCTTGTCATTTATTGATCACTTTATTCGTTCAGAAGGCTAGCGTTCCTCTTTTCCTGTAATGCTCGAAGTACAAACCTGTTCTTTTGGAGTATAAACTGCCTAATAAGCTGCCACTATAGCATTATATTCCCGAGGGTACTAGCCAGGTCTAAAAGCTATATCTTTTGATAACATAATAAAGTTGTCTTTCAATTTACGGTTACTTACAAGCCAACAAACTCTTGCTTAGTTTGATAGTGCTTGGCGGTGCATTTTTTAAAACAACTTTTGATTGATATCTGTCGAGTTTATTTTCAAGAGTATACGCTATGCAGGCAGACTTTTTTTTCGGGCGAGGCAGGGCTTAGCTCTTGATGTTGATATCGAAAAATTGTAAATTTGGTAAAACCCAAGAAACTGTAAAATAGCTTTTTGTTCAGGGGTCCTTCGCAAATTAACAATGGGCTTCAGGATGCCGCAGGTGAGAGACAGTCCGTTTTATGAAAATCCAAGGAACAATCTTTCAGTCAGTGCGAGAGTATTAGGGCAGAAATGTAAATACAGTGTGGAAAAGGATAGAACATAGATATATAACAAAGGGTAAACTCGTCAAAAAAATAAACCCTTTTTTATTTTCTACACTTATATCAAGTGTGCTTGCTTAATAAACAGTAAAAAAACTCTTAGTCTTCAAAATACAATTTTTTTTATCTTGTCTCTTCATTACCATATGTATCATCAAGATTGTCACTATCGCGATCATACTCGCCATCAACATTGTCTCCATCAACCTCACAATCGGCATTGTTATAACAACTGGTTTCTTCAGAGTCTGGACCGTAGTTACGATGACGTCTATGCGTTGCCTGTTCTTCATTTCCCGGTGGTGATTTCTCCTCAATTGGTTCATCGTATAGGACCTGTATACAGTGGGGCTGATGCTGAAGGTCCATAAACTCCCATCCGAAGTGTGCCCCACCTGGCAGCCTCTTATTTATTTTCTTGAAGTAAATAAATTTATACTTAGGGCCATGGTCCTGCCAGTTTGACCAGACTTTGTCCAAAAAGGCGTGGTGACACCAAAATTCAGGTGCAAGAGCAGACGAGTCCTCAGACATGGTTCCTCCAACGGCATTATGCAAGTCATTGTGCATGTATTCTCTCACACCAGATTCAAATTTGTTAAATTGGTTCCAAGGAATTTTATTAAGGTCGTTGACGTACCATTCCCCTGGTAAAAACATTTTTCGATCAAATTCTCGGGACAGACAATCATGACCATGCCAGACAGGGAGATACCATTTTCCAACACTGAAGGGCCCACTTCTAACGCAGCCTGATCCAGAGTCGCCGTCGCCACCAAAGCCGTGAGGCCCTGGATTCCAAATATCCCGTTTATCTGTATGACGCCACAGTCGTTTACGTGACACTGCTCGTGCCCAGTTCCAATAAGGTACAGTCACGCGACAGTCAACGTGACGCAGCAGATTTTCGAATATAGAAATGTACCAGCGATGCCAAGGAAAGAAAAGATTTTTCTCGTGAATGATATCAAAAAACTTGAAATGAAATCTGGTAATAATATCGTAGGTCCTCTTATAAGGGTTTTGCATTGACACTACTTTGAGGGCCCTTACAAAACGACGTCGCTCTTCAAGAGGCATTTCTATGAAGTCCTTTCGTATTCTGTGGCAATCAGAGGGCTTTCCATCTTTACAGTAGCAAAGGCGGTTGCATTCATCGTATATTATTCCAGAACCTGAACAGCTGTGATTAAAACCTGAAAAGGAAAATAAAGGATTTGTTGTATTTCTTTTCATTATCATTATGTCACTATTCGAATGCGGAATGTATGATCGTCCAGGTGAGAGTAGCCCTGGATAGAAATGTTGTTGAAAGTGACTGACGTCTCGACTACCTGTGCGTTAGTCATCTTCAGAGTCAAGGTGAGCTCTGTCACTTCTGATCATTCTAATGGTTTTAATCTCTGGTTATTGACCTGATTGGTCAGTTAAGTCGCATTGTGATGACTTGTCTGTCAGTCAAGCCGTGATGTACAATCAGAATACTGAACACCATTCACTGACGAAACTGCTTAACTGGCTTAACGGACAGACCACCAATAATATCTCGACTTAATTGACCAATCAGGTCAATGACCAGAGTTTAATGCCTTCAAATGACGTGATACAATTCACTTTGACTCTGAAGATGAATGTCATCAACCGGTCCTATTTCACATCAGTACTATACTCATCGGGACGATCATATTCCACCTTGCTATAGTTAAGTATAGTAATTTTACACTAACGTTTTGTTTGTCCAGTCATCCATAAATCCTTCCACTTGTCACTCAGCTTCCTAATACATCCTTCCAGCCATCGGTTCTTCATTTTTACCTTAACCGATTTTTATCTTCTAATGTCATTCGTTTGATACATGTATGCTCAACTCACCTGTTCCTCTAAACGCGTAAGGGAGCTTGGAAACATCAGCAAAGGAGCCAATCCGGAATGTCCTTTGACTGCTGCTTATCACGTGCTTGCCAACTGTCAAAATGAATACTCTGACTCCTTTGTCTTCCAGTGACTTAATAGGAAGAGATGCCAATACTTTTGAAGTAAGGGAACTACTCTCTACTATGACAAATAAGATTCGATCGACTTTTGGATTGTGTCTTTCTGGTTCGGAATACAATCTTGTTTTTAAGAAATGGAACAAACGGTTTAAAGATGCTCTCTGGCCCGGTACATATCTGTGAATGAAGAAATACCCAGCAAAATATATATAACCATGTACAGTTGTATATTTTGTATTACTTCTTAGCGGGGTCTGAGGTATCAGAAAATGATTCGTGTCTCGCTTAAATCGCTGCCGGCATGAGAGTGTCTCGCTTCTTGAAATTTTTAGATGGTTAGCTTTCCAGAAGGCTAAAGTGATACACAAAGCGCCTATTTCCTTTTTTTGACAATCAACCGAATGCACATAACCAAGTTTTGATTTAAAAAGAAACAATACAGAACGTAAATGAAAGACCCTGGGAAGGCCCTTCCCTGGGAAGGCCTTCTACGTGAGCTAGAGAAAGATGAACCACCGCTTTTCTCTAGGTGCAGTCCAACCCCGTTTAACGGACACTCGCTTAATAAGGACACTTCACTATTACGAACAGTTTGCTTTGTACCTGGGGAAAGAAGAACCCTTACTTTTTTCAAAATTGAACCCGATTAATAAGGGCACCCCTGTCACTTTCTACGGCCCCCCTCAGTGTCCGTATTAACGGGGTTGACTGTACTCTGAAGACAGTATAACAAAATGAAACAAAATGAGAGGATTGGTTAAAAATTAAAAGAGCCTTCATTGGATTCGAAGACGGGCCCTTATTAGAATAGGGGCGCTTATAAGGAAAATAAGTAGCGCTTGCTAGAAAGGCAGAGGTTAGACAGGGTCGTTAAATTGAATTGTTATCGTTTATTTTATTCAAAGTGGTATTGTCGTTATTAGTTACAAAAGCCAGGTTTCCTATACTATGAGTGTTTACCTGAGCGATGAGATGGCGTTCAAAGTGCACTTCATGTTCATGTATTGGTTCCAACGAAAAACAAGGCGCGGAGTTGAGGAGTAAGTTACCATGGCGACCCTTGTTCCTGAAGGAGACACACTGAATTCTTGTACAAGTTTTTGTGCAAAGGTTTTGAGTAATAAGAAATTCCTGGCTCCAACAGTTCTTGTGCTCGGTATTGCTAATGAGAGTTGTATTCGAGGAGGTAAACCAGACGCTGCAAAATAGAAAGGGAGGTCTCTCAGGAAATTTAAGTTCAGTTATATGAAGTTGGATTGGTTGGGCGGAGAGGGTATTTGTCAACAGCAAGAATTTGAAACATTTTTGCCTCCATACTACCGAAGGTCTTTAACCACCATTTCAGATAATCAGCGAATCAATCAATGAATATAAGTCTATCCATCCATCAATTGATCGATCAATCAGCATTAATCAATGTTATTATTCATTCAAAATATTTCTCCGTTTGTGATTGGCTAAAAGCACACGCATAATTCACCATAACCACCTACTGATGACCAAATTTGGAGGAATTTTACGATTAATCAACCGATGACGTCAAAAGTGCAGCACAGCTGCAAGTTAATGCACCGTTAACCAAGAAAACCCGGGAACGAGGTTAAGTTGTTTTAGTTGTGAAAACAAAAATGGCGGACATTTCACTTGTTTCAAGAGTAAGAACCAGGCCAATTATTAATTAACCCGCACTTTCTCCATATAGACGCAAGATAGCGTCCGGGAGGGTGTTATCGGCCTCGGCAGATAAAACCCTCCTCGATCTCCGTTACTCTTCAAATGATATTCAGCCTCTTTCATTATTTGTTAGTTAGTCAACCAATCAATTGAAAGAATCAAAGTAACCAAGAAAAGCAAGAAATCAATCAATCAAGCAAGCTATTAATTAGTTTTTCATTACAAGCCCATATAGTTACCTTCCAGTTAACTTTTAACAATAAGAAAGAGAAATACCGCGGATAAGCAAAATGAATTGATTTCTCCAGTCTGACAAAGTGGCCGAACTTTACTGTCTTTGCTGATCTACTCTCTCTTTACTACTACTCAGTTTAAAGGTTCAGTTTAACGATCATGCTCTTGTTCTGTACCCACCATTATTTCGCTTGGCCGACTGGAAAAGACTGCTGGATAAATCTTCTACTGTAGATGTGATCCACTTTGTGGTCACGCCTGGCAAAAGACAATTTAAAGAACAATTGCATGAGTTAGTGCCCCTTGTCAAAACTGTTTATAAAACAAGTTTATATTGATGTCTTGCTTCATGTAATCAGTACAACAAAGCCCCTTCATCAATAAATAAATATTGTATCAGTCTGTTAATTTTTGAAAGATTGATTGGTGCAATCATTGTCGGATCAAGGCAATAAAAATAAATAAATAATAATAATAATAATAATAATAATAATAATTATAATAATAATAATAATAAATAAGCGGTGCCAACTTTTCTCACTTCCAGCCAATGGCTGAATTGCAGAGGAACCAGAGAGGTGAGATCGGACGTCAGCATGTAAAGGCGCATGTAAAAAAGGAGACAAGGCCAACGGCTTAACGTCACCGTCCAATGACGCGATCATCTGAACCGAGAAAGGCGTTTCGCAGCTAGAATGATCTCACCAGTTTTTTAAAGACCTTGGTTGATGGTCCGGCCGGGGTTTGAACTTACGACCTCCCGCTCAGCAGACCGGCGCTCTTACAACTGAGCTAACCGGGCGGCGGCTAATAAACGGTATCTTGTATCTATAGGGAGAAAGCGTGCAATATCATAGTATAATAGCTTCATAGTTGTGTTTATCTTAATAAACAACACTTGAGATGTATACTGAGATCGCGACGTTTAGACTGCTTACTGCTGGTTCTCAGCAGGCAATAAGAGTGATTGTATGCACGACACTTAAAAAAGCATTTATTATCTAAGTTAGCTGTCCTTTAATTATAGTTACCCGGATGTTTTTCATCAGCGCCAACTCGAAATGACGTCAAGACGAGCCCTATCAGTACATAGCCCAAACTATGACATGAGCACATGATTGCCATATGGGGTCCAGTACTTTCCACCTAATCCATTCATCTCAGGAAAGTCTGCCATTTGCGTTTTCAGGCGTCATACCTAAATGTTAGCAATAACATTACTCAAAATTAGGCTTGACTCAGAACATAGTTAATTGAGTGGAATGGTTATGAAACCCGTCAGACTCCTTTGTTATATGTTTTTGTGGTCCTGAAAGAGCACAACGTTCAAAAGAATTCCTATCATTTTGATTGTATTGACCAATAAAAACGTTGCATTAATTTATTCCGTAACAATTTGCCAACAGAAAACAAAGGATTGTGCACTTTCAGGGTACTTCCAACATAAACTGCAGCACTGTTGTTTTTATCATTGATGTTTGCCGCTTTTCATAACCAGTCTCCTCTAATAACTATGCTCAGAATAATAAAGATATGTTTTGAAGGAGGTTGCTACAAATTTTCTTGCATTCTTGACACGATTTGACCCAAGTTTTCTTGTCTAGGTTTCACGATACATAACCAACAATTCGAACAATTTAAACGAGTCGCATTCATTGTCTCTTTTAGCACTTACAAAAAGAACACGTTTTTAACCCAAATTCGGACTCGCATAGCCTTGAAACGAGCCGGCTTCAACAGCTTAATATCAACAACTGCCCCAGTTGTATTTATTGATTAAAATTCAGCTGAAAATCAATGATATGTAAAAATGGTTTGTGTACATAATGCATTCCTCTGCAGCACAAGAGTAGTCAGCCTCTAATTTGAAATCTTAATGTCTGACTTGTTTCCTCAGAGAGTTTGTTAATCGTTATTCAGATTTAAAAATTTTAGTAAATTAAGGTAATTGTTCTTCTTACTGAGACGTTGTATTTTATTATGGCTGAGGTGAATGCACTTGACAACGATTCATTCCTAAAACCATTTAAATTATATGCTGTGTATATCAGAAGTCGAGCCATCGCTATTCATACGTATCTTTTTTGAAAAAATTAAACTATGATCAATATCGCGTTTAACTCTACGCATGTATCGGGTTTATACTTTGTAAGGAAGGCTGAAACGTTAGCGCAGAGGCGAGTATCAACGTTGGCTTCGGGTTGATTCTTGGTTAAAAAATTCTACCCAAATTGGAAAGTGTGCGAAACTATTTGCTAATTTATAGAAGCATGGAGAGATTAGTAGGATTCAGCGGTTTTTAACACACTTTAGAGCATTAAATTGCGCGGTTCGAAACAAAATGACTAGAATGCAGTTTTGGAGTTATGATTTTGTTATGGTTTCAATGGAAATTACAACGTCCTTGCTAGCCTATATGTATGATGTAAGGAATCATAAAAACAAGACAGCTTCAAAGTAGACTTGCCTCAGTTCAGCCTAGATAAATGGCAATCAGTAAAATCCGTTTTGAGTGTGATACGTTCATGGAGTGGTTCACTGTAAAAACTGTAGAGTGGTGTTAAAATTAAATGCTCTAACTCAACTGTAATTCTTGTCAGCTTTTCATGTCACCCAAAGAAAAGAATGAAACTAATAGAGAACAGATGGATGATTTTAAATGGGAATTCAGTTGTTGACATTGTACTTAATTAACACGAGCTCTTTATTGGCCTTGGACTAGATCTAATCTAATTGGGTGTGAAGGAGGATACCATAAGACCCTTCATAGTTCGGCTGTGTTGGACTGGCCAGAAATTGCCTCGGGATGGGCAATCACCAAAAAGGAATAGATAAAAACTTAAATCACGTTTCACGAGAACAGAATGGCCCCAATTACGCATCACGAAAAACAATAAGGGATCTGGACCCTCTGGCTAGATGTCTCCTGTTTTGACAGACCTGTAGATTTTCTGACGATTTTCTGTAGAATAAAACTACACAACAATTTTTTTACTAGTAGATTATACATTCTTTAACAATAAACAATTACTGGATCCGGATTAAGTTGCTGAAAATATGGTGATTTGTCAGCAGTTACACCTCGTCTACACCGCAGGCAAAAGGAATTAAATTTTCTGAAAAATACTTAAAAACTACAATTTTTTGCTAGACGAGTTCAACAATTGTTTGAAGTGGCAAAACATTGAAGTGGCAAAACAACACCATAAGATTAGAGCTCTTCTCTGGAGTTCTTTTTTCGTCGGCTTCTACCATTCACTCAGGGATCATTCATTACAAACATTTTACATCACAATCAAATCATTTTTGATAGGCGGCAAGAGACCCTGCAGCAATCTCTCTTGAGCGTTTTCAAGAGATTCCCTTCTTATTCGATTAATATATAATTGACTTCAGAATGGGAATTACACAACTATTTTATTTACCTAAAAGAACATTCCATTATACGGTGAATTTTGAACATATAACTTAAATGATTTTTAAGATTGAAAGATTTGCTGTTCCTACTGTCAATTGGTGGACTGTTACTGGTATGCATATCTTTTTGTATTTTTTTTTCACGGTTGTCACAGGCTACCACAGAGTGTTTTCCGAAGACAGGGACCAAACTGAGCTGCCCTCTTTTGTTCCTTACTTCATATATGATGATTACAATAAACCGTATACAAATGGTGTACTGGCTGCTTTAACATATATATCTTCGATTCTTTTCTTGCTTAGGGTTTTTGCTCTATTACTTGAGGCTCTTCGCTTGCATATTGTGCTTGTCTGCCTTAGGTATAATAACAATCATACGTATGTATATGGGACACCATAATAATCTTATATGAAGTATCTATCGATGTGTTAGTCTGTTTCGCTGGACAAGGGTAAAGAAGCAACCAATGTTTCGACCTCCATCCGTTCTTTTGGTGAAGGTCTTATGCTTGAAACGTCATCATGATTGATCATGTCTTAATCAACTTAGTTAATAAAACCAAAACAGTTTTGTTAAGAACATAAGCCCTAAAAATAAAACATGGGAATTGCTTCTTTTTCACTTTACAAACCTGTCTCGAGCTGAATTTTGTAAATTTGACTATTTTATATGGAAAAAGGCTAATTAAAACAAATTGGTAACTTTCTGTAATCATTTGTTTCCGGATCACTTTCTGTTATTGACAGGCGATAGAAAAACGTGTGAATAATGTTTGAGGGAATGACATATCTGAAGTGCGCGAAAAAATTGTACTCAAGTGGTCCGAACTCAAGGCTCTGGCCGGGAGTTTGTTAAGCAGTCGAGGAGCTAATTTTACCAGTCCTCTTTCAGACACAGTAGTCATTTCCGTATAACTAGAATAGCTTAGAGTTTGAATCTCACTGACTGCGCATGTGCGAGCTAAATCGCTTCAAAAACCCTGTAGGATATTTTACGTACTTGATCTAAATGGGAAAAACAACATGGCGGCCACAACTGTTAGAGGTGGTCATGGTGGTAAAAGAAGGAATTCGAGTAGCAAAGGATGATTTCTGATATGAAACAAGTGAGAAAGATTTGTTGAAGAGAAATAAAAGTATTTTTCTGGAAGGTAAGATATTCCAGTTGCGGCTTGGTGCAAAATTCGAGGCAGGACATGATTTTATAGCGACAGCGCGATTTCGCGGCACATTTTGTCGTAGAAAGGTGGACAGAAAATAGTCGTTAGGTGCTCCTAGTGCGTAGGGTGATAATAGAACTTTAAGCTTCTTAATTATTGGGACTGCTGTACAAAGAGAACTAAAATATCTTGTTCACATCAGGGAATTTGTATGTTTTGTCTGAAATATCTAAAGCTGTTCAATTTTCAAACAAAATCTCTGCATGATTAACTGTTCAGGAGGGAAGAGTTGAAGCGAAAAATGCTTACCTCACCTGAAGCTTCATTTCCTGGAGTTTTCATCTGGGTTCAAAGAACGAATGGCGGGCTTAATGCTCGTTACGTTCAGCTTACGCTTCAAATCTCATTATTACCACTAACTGTTTTCTGGTATGCGTATAGTAGCAAGGAACTGAATAATTTCATTTACTTGTTCAGTTTGTTTCTGTAAAAATGTTGCTTTTATTGCCGATGACAGATGTGACTAATATCTCAAAACAAGCGGGTTGTTTCATTCAAAACCTCGGCCATAAATGCAACAAGCTCATATAGTCGGCCCAGCTAGTGCACAGTAGAGAACGTTAATGGTTCTTGTTTTAACGGGCACTTAATTGGAAATAGGTTTTTACAATCATGATGAAAGTCTGATAATTTTATTGTCGAGAAATGTTTGACCATTATCACCGTGAGAAATCATGAGGACATGCGTTGAAAGTAAAAGACAGGTATGTTAGTTTTGGATATATTTTTTTTGTTATTTCGTGAAAGGAATAATATTTTACTTTCTTAAATAAAACCTGAGTTCTCAGCGCTTATGTAAGTCCCAGAGCTCTCTCATGAGGCCAGAGAAATTTTCTAAAGCCATGCTCACAATCTTTTCCGGTCCAGTTGAGAATGAAGGCCTTGTCTTCAATACACCAATCAAATATTGTTATTTGAGTCCCTAAAATGTTACTTATTCTGTTTGAACAACAACTTTCCGGTTTTGGTTTTGGTTTTGCGGCTCTTTTTTCACCTTTTTTATTCTTTTTCAATAGTTTCTTATAAGGAAAGATAGACAGTAGGTAGTGCACAACAAGATAATACTCTATCAATGTAGGTTTACTTTAAGTTTAGTTTTGTTTTAGGCCAATTTAGGCCTAGGCTTATCATGTCTTGTTTATAATAAAAACGGGTATTGAAATGGCAGGTAACCAACACCGATCTTGCCCTTGAATCAATTTTGAGGCAAGACGTCAACAATTCCTTTTACCGTGGCAGTCCATTATCATTGTGAATCACAATTGGCAAGCACAGCAAAAAAAATTGACATGTTGGGGATATTTAATTTTGCCTAATAATGCGTTTACTGAGCTATCGACAAAATTAAATATCTGTCTGTTCTGGCAAAGTCCGTACAAAGAAGCCAAGTACATGTATAAAGGATGGCTACTTTTGAGTTACTTCTTTACTGGGTTATTTTTCATATCCACGAATTGTTGGTTAGCTCAAAGCCGTTTGTGCTTTAATGCTTTTGCCTTATTACTTAGAGAAGACGTAGAATATTCGGACAATGGCAGTCAAATAAGTCATTCATCTAATACCACAGGTAGCCCAAGCTCGAAATTTGAGCATCGGCGGGCATCAGCATTGTTGCGTAACATTCAAAATATAAGGATTTGTATGGGAAAAAAACCTACCGTTTCTGTAACCTACGAAAATGAAAGGATTTCAATAAAAAACAGCTCACCTTACTTAAAATGTGTGTTACATCTCTCCTGTGTGGTCCACGGGCCGATTTATGGTCGTTTTATGGGTTTTTATGTGAGCGGTTTTCTCTCTATATAAAGGTTTACCAAGGTTGGGCACTCCGGCGAAGCGGCTCGACTGATCCACCTAAGGAAAACGGCCGGAAATTCGCTCCAACTGCTCCAATCGCCTCCAAATTCCGCCTAGGTAACACATGATAGTTGTTCTTTCTATTCGTTATCTTGCTTCAAGACTCCTTTGGACCGAGAGCGAATCAAAGGCCGCAAATCTCTGCAACCTTTCCCGTCTGAAGCCATCGACAGAGGCTCGGCCTGAACTCCGCGTTACCGTTGACAGATAGCGACACGGCCTGAGATTCAAATTACTCACACTCGGGGTGGGAGACAGTCTCTTGCTCCCGTTGTTTTCCTATTGTGTCAACTGAGCAAGAGACTGTCTCCAACCCCGAGTGTGAGTAATTTGAGTCTCAGGCCGTGAGAGGTAACGCGGAGTTCAGTTCGCGGAGTTGGAGCGAATTTCCGGCCGTTTTCCTTCGGTGGATCAGTCGAGCCGCTTCGCTGGAGTGCCCAACCTTGGTAAACCTTTATATAGAAAGAAAACCTTTTACGTAAAACCCATAAAACGGCCATAAATCGACCCGTTGACCACACAGGAGAGACGTAACACACATTTTAAGTAAGGTAAGCTGTTTTTTATTGAATCCCTTCATTTTCGTAGGTTACAGAAACGGTAGTTTTTTTTCCCATACAAATCCTTATATTTTGAATGTTACGCAACAATGCCGATGCTCGCCGATGCTCATTTTTCGAGCTTGGGCTACCTGTGCTAATACCAGTTATAATTCGAGTTTCAGGAATTCTTCAGAATTGTTCTCCTTAAATGTATTGATCACGTGCTATTCACAGTACGGATCAGAGATCATAAGAGATTATTTAGCTTTCACCCCTTAACTTAATTGTCGAAAATTAGGTAATGAATTTCTTTCCTACATTTTAAAAATCTAACAAAATGGAAGATGAGTGCCAGACGCAATGGAAAAAAGTAGAGAGAGAGAGAAAGAGAAAGTTCATGTCTCTCAGACACCTTGCACAAAACAGGCCCCGATTCCCAAACGTTGGATGTTGTAAATTCTCTTCGGTTGCGTAGCATTAGAAGAGCGTTGATTTCTGTTCCCTATTATTTTAGCTGTTGATTAATTATTCTGAGGCGCATTGAATTTCTGAAAGCAATTGTATGTTGTATACAAGCAGAGTGGATTTAGTAGTCTGTATAAATAGAGGCTGTTTAGTATGCAAGTCATTCTCAGTCGTTACGCTTC